TTATTTAATCATTGGCTAAAGTAAGCTTAAGAAATAGTGTCCTAGATTTTAAAAGATTTAACTTTGTAGGTTGGTAGTGGTCTAGATAACAAATTCAAGTAGTGATGTGACGAGTCGGGTACTTTCCTGACTCGAGTGACTCGACTCGCCAACTGCCGTGAACTCGAGTTACGAGTCGAGTCAGACTCAACTCGAGACGTTCCGAGTTCGTGTGAGTTCGGCATTCTCCGTACGAGTTCGTTAGTTTTGCGAGTCGGCCGACTCGGTACCGGCCAATAGCGTGTCAGCTTTACGAGTCGACTCGACTCGACTCGAGACGTTCCGAGTTCGTGTGAGTTCGGCATTCTCCGTACGAGTTCGTTAGTTTTGCGAGTCGGCCGACTCGGTACCGGCCAATAGCGTGTCAGCTTTACGAGTCGACTCGACTCGACTCGTTCCGAGTTCGTGTGAGTTCGGCATTCTCCGTACGAGTTCGTTAGTTTTGCGAGTCGGCCGACTCGGTACCGGCCAATAGCGTGTCAGCTTTACGAGTCGACTCGACTCGACTCGAGACGTTCCGAGTTCGTGTGAGTTCGGCATTCTCCGTACGAGTTCGTTAGTTTTGCGAGTCGGCCGACTCGGTACCGGCCAATAGCGTTGAATCTATGCGAGTTGACTCGTAAAGCTGTGACGCTATTGGCCGAAAGCGAGTGCGAGTAAACTCGAGTCAACTCGTTACGTCCCGAGTTCGTTAAGGTTCGGCTTTCTCCGTATGAGTTCGGTTTCTTGACTCGGCTTTTGCGAGTCGGACTCGTAACGTTACGAGTTCGTGTAGCTTCGGCAATCTCCGTACGAGTTCGTAAAAGAACTCGAGTTGGAATTGAGTTGACTCGAGTTGACTCGACTCGGGTCTTGACTCGAGTCAACTCGACTCGCCAACTCAACTCGTCACATCACTAAATTCAAGTTGTGTCAGTTAAGTTCAGTGGAAATGATGGTCTATTAAATGTGGTTGCTGTAGAAATTGTAAGTAGATTTTAATATTGTGTAATAATAAGATTTAAGAGATTTATTGTATATAGCATTTGTAGAAATCATTTTTGGAAAAATATGTAAAGTAAAGAATAGTTTTCAAACCAATTGTAATGCATTTTACAAGAAAAGAAAACAAGTAAAGTTCATACAGACCTGTAGAGTTTTGTTCGTGAGAAGCACATTGTCACAAAGTGTTGTAAGGATCTTAAATCCATTTTTAATTATTAGAATTTGTAGAGAATAGTTTTTATCGGATTTGTGTGATGTTTTCAGACAGATATCAACCACTTCTTGTTTCTTGGTACTACCACTTCTTGGTCCAGTAGCTTCTTTGTACCACTTCTATTTGCATGGTAACTGCTAGTTCCAGTTCTGACCATTAAACCCAGTGTCTGATTAAAGTAAGACCTTTCCAGTATTTTATTATTTAGTACAATATTTGGAAGTAATAAGAGCGTATTTGATTTTATTTGGAAAGTGTATTTTGTGAAATTTGAGAACCATAAAATATATATGTCTTTGGCCTACTTAGTCTTTTAATTCGTCTCTCTTCTACTACCAGCTTAAATTAGATTCATCCTAAATTAAAGTATACTACCTAATTGACTACATGGTAGGGGGTATAGTATCTTAATTTTGAAACTTTTTATTGCATGACTTTGAGTTTCAGCTGTTACTGTTCCAAACATGGGGTAAAATTTGTTAAGTGATTAATGTTTCTGATCTCTGAAATAAATGATATTGATTTTCAGAAACCTTTGTTGCTCTGTACGTCTTTATAAGGTGTAGTAATTAAAGATATTGCAACTGATTAAATATTTCTAAAACGTAAAGTTAAAATAAAGTTAACTCTTAAAAATTGGTTTTATAATAAAAAAATTATGGTTCTTCAGGCATTGAGATGTAAAACACAACACTACATTTTTGCAGAAACTTACAAAAATATAACTAATAGGCTACTAATTACCCATCATTGATATACCAAGATTAAATTGTATTCATCGTTAATTGTTCATCTTTTGTTGTTGTCGACAGTAACATGTTCTGCAGTGGTCGTTGCGAACCTCAAAACCTAGATTTCCCGCGATTACCTGACCATCTAGCCGTGCTGCGACTTAGGCCCGCTTATACTTGCTCTACGACCATTTCTACATAGGCACAAGCTCCCAAGCCCAGCTTTTGATCAGCGTACTTAAGTTAGGCGCGCCTAACACTGGGCGCGTTTTAGCTGAACTCGAGTTTCCAAACCCCCTCTAAATGAATAAAACCAGATGAAAAAAACACACATCCTAAATTAATTTTTTACATAGCTAAGCCTGTTGATAAAAACATTATTATCTGATAGCCAAATAAAACAAATCTAGTAGATTCAAAATTTGACGTAATTTTTCACATGGGTAATAGGCAATAATAACTTCCCGTTTGGAAAGATCCCTACTATCTTAAAACACAATGTAGAATATTTACACTCAATTAGAAATCCTTCAAAATAATTGTACTTTAGTTAGTTAGAGTCACTCAGAAAGAGGTCCCACTTAATTTTCCTTGTCCTTCTGCAAACCTTACTTTTTGCAATACATATTTCACTTAGCTGTCAAGTATACTTACTTGCAAGGCTTCCCGGGGAACAACATATAGACCATTATAGTTCTACACCATAATTATTTCCTCTATTATTTCGACCATACCTCTCTTTCAATGACACTGTGATTCACATGCAAAATTCCCCTAAATTAAGTCGCAACTATCAACGAGACTGATAAAAAACAGCATACAACCTAAGCAATGGAAAACTTTGTACAAATGTTTTCCATCCAAAAAGACCACCTGCAAAAACCCTCCGAATCTTCGGTACAATTTCCACGTCCGAAAAGTTAATATCTGTTGACTGGCAAAGGACTTCAATCACGGTTGAAGGACCCCCAGAAGCTAATCGCTGAACACAAACTTTACTTGGTGGGAACGTCAATTGTCCTTACAACATTTATGAATACTATGAAGAGACTATTATCCTTATAGGGGTGGTTACAGGCTAGAATGGATGAAGTAAAAGACATCTCTGGTCTTATATTTGAACTAGCTTGTGTTGCTGCAATGGGGGGATGGAGACCTTAATTTACGACGGACAACCCTTGTATGTCTACTCCAAGAGGATATCTCTATGTCCAATCCCAAGGAGAATGAATGGCATGGGCCTCAAGTGCAAACAAAGAGTGTTCAGTACAAGATACATTGCACTGAGAAACTTTTAGTGGTGGGATCGGGATGCAAATCCAGTGGCCATGTTTTGGCAGATGATTAATTGACCAACTTTTTATTATTCTAAGCCAATGTTAATTTTATTTGGATAAGATAAAAGTTATTGAATATTTTTATTTTCTTAGCAATACAAGGCAATAACTCTAACCACAATGGTAAGCATGAGCAGATTAATTAATAAGCAGTGAAGATTCTTCAAGCCAGGCAACAAGTTTTAAATTTTAAGACTAGTTTCATTAAGTGCATTCAAAGCAAAATAGCTATTTCTGTCTATTAAGAGTGTAAAGAATGACATTGCCGCACACCGCTCGAAGCTTCATACGGCCATCCTTTTTGAGAGTGGCAAGACTTTTGGGCTCGTAATATACACAAGATTTTTCCTACCACCAGAATTAACTTATCATAACACACAGATTCACTTTTTAGTTGTATATAAATTGTCAATTAGGTTATGTTATTTGCTTACTGGATGTTAGTGTTTTATAGAGATGTCAACAGTGAAATCAGCTGATTTAGCTAGCGGGATTGAATAAAGCGAAATTTAGATATTTTGCATACCGTACTGTTTCAGGTGTTAAAATGTCATAATTTCCATGCAGTAGTAGGACAATTTATTTCTGTTATCATATCAAATAGCTTTTTCAAATATCAAATAGCTCTACCTGTTACTAGAGGCATTGTCTCAATTCTGTAAATAAATGGGCAGATCAATCAACAATGGGCAGAGAAATAAATGCTTACAATTTTCTGCTATACCATAAGTTCTTTTACATATATCTGAAAAAAATTAACATTTTGAAACTGCAGCTAAATAATGTCAGCTTGTTTGCCAAAATGGAAAATAATCATGGTTTCACTTAAGGATAAAAAAGTTATTCTATAAGCACTCTGTGAAACTCTACAACATAGTCAATGGTATTAATAGTCCCCATTTCAGAATAAAGTATTAAAGTAAAGTATTTAATGATTAGGCTAATAACACAGTTAAATAAACAGAAACATTTTACCAACTGATAACTGGTCAATATTGGTTACACACTTTTTAATTCAAATCTATAATAGCAAAATACCATTTAATCTTAAGTTGTTGTTAATTTGGTTGCTCATACTGACCATTATTTGAACGTTCTTAATGTTCAACTAATGCATTTAATGTGGTACTAATGTTTAGTTGAACTTAAAAGTTCAACTAAAATGAAAAACTTACTATGAACTGCTGGCAATAGCAGCTGCCAAGCACTCGGGTGTTGGTTTAGCAGCCGAAGCAGACACTTTTATTCCGTAAGATTCAATAGCTGCCCCTGTTGTGGGTCCAATAGATATCCACTGAAAAAATGGCATCATGATTATTTTCCTACAGTTACCTGGCAAAGTGAGCCTCCTTGCACTGATTATAGCACGCAAAGTAGCTAATTGCTGCATTTGGCATTTACTTACTTTTGCCGCACTCCAGTATTCCAACCAAACAACACAAAACAATGAGCTTTTATAAAACACTTAATATGTGTACGCTTGAAAATAAGTTGAAAACACCTAAAGATACTACAACTACAATACAGTGGTGCAGTGTTTCCCATTTCGTTCTACGCCAGGATTTAACATAACCTAAAAACGTGTTGTATATTGTTTGAAAGTCTAATTAATTATTTATATGCTTTATAGTAACTGTAGGAGAAATTTAATGTGTTACGTGAGTGAAAAGTGCCTTTGCTGCACTTGAGAAACGTTTCTCTTGTGTGCAGCAAAGTGTGTCACTTTGCACACTAGTTACACAAATAACTATTTGTGTTACTAAATAATGTGAACCACTATAAGCTCACGTTGCTACTGGCGCTTGCAAGTTAGATTTAATGAGCTAGTTAGCCCCAGTGGGTTAGCATTAGTGTGGCTACCTAGCCACGAAACAGGTACTTACACGAAAGGTTTAATGCCTAACATGAGTTAAAGGACAAAATAGGATTGTTCCAATTTAATCACTGAGCAACCAATGATACCGCAACTCTTGAAACAGTTTCAACTTTTTGATGAATTATACCGGGTGTACATAAAATAAGTAAACAACTTGTACATAAATTTATCACAATCTAAGCGCCCGACCTTGCTGCGGTTGTCATCACTGTGTCGGAAACACCCCAAGTTTTTCCCACAAAGCTGGCACACAGTTGTCAACAATCCAAATAATGTGGTAAAAAATGTTATTTATTGAATTAGTTAAAAATGGTCAATACTATTACAGAAAAGTCTTTTTCTGTTCTGAAGTTTGAAAGAACTTGATCTGCTACCACTGTTCAACGTATTTTTTGGACGTGTTATCATAGAGACCCTCCAAATAGGAAGTCAATCTACGACTGGCATCGGAAGGCCACGGGCTACTTAGGAAAAGGAAAGAGCTCCAGGAGATCAGCAACGTGTAATGATCAGGTTGAGTTAATCCGTGGAACGGTTGTAAACACTTTGAGGATATCAACGCCCAAGGTGGGTATGGAGTGAAAGATGGTGTTATCCACTACACTGGCTGTACGATGTAAGAGACTACCTTGACTACAGTATACTGATTTGTTACAGTAGGAAACATTTAATTTTGTTATGATCGATGAACTAATTATTGTTGCTAATCTATTGCGTTAAGTTGGTAGGTTGGTAGCCCTTGTTGTACAGATCAATCTCGACATAGTTTGTTTTTTTTTTTAAGTGGAGAGCGGAAATAGAGGAGGCCGTTAGAAAATGTAAGTAGGTCTATTGTAAAAAGTTATAATTATAATAATCCGAGCACATCCATTGTAAAATATCATTTATATTAACCAGAAGTATTAAACGTTAAACAGAAGACAACAAAGATTTAGTTTATCTGCAAGACAATCATAATATTTTCAATAACTTGCCAATCATAACCTCTTGCCTCATGTTAAACAATTGTATTTACCTTATTCAGTATTTTAGTTAGTTTAGTATACCAACATGTAACTCAGACAATTTATTTTGTATTTCAGAACGAAGATCCTCCTTTTCTTCCCTGAATATAGAGCGCTTTCCATATGATTGTGTATATGCATGTACAGGTATCTCTAGCCTAAGAATTTATTGTTGTATAATGGATAATCGTTATTATAGGCTGATTAACGAGAATGAAAAATAAATAATTACTTGGTGATTTAATCAGACTCTATTATTTCCACAGATCTTGGCTCTAGTCACTAAAACAAAAACTTGGGCCTAACCTAAATTAAAAATTAGGTAATAGCTTTCAGTATATAATTTGCGCAACTCTGCTTAGTGATAATTAAGAGAGCCGATCATAGAGTCAGTATCAATAGTGGATTATCACTTTAAAAATCAACCCAAGTATGGCTAAGTACAACTTGAACTACTTAAGTAAGGATGAGTTAAGATATGAACTCCTGATAAGAGGAGTAACTATTATGTTTGATAACGTCCAGGCTTTGCGGAAACAATATCGTGAATGTATTAACATCAAACCAGATTTAGCTAATTTGAAAGACAAAATTAATCTTCAAGATGAAATAGATCTTATTGAGATTAAAATAAGTGCTTTGGAACTGTTAATTGAACAGTGTGAGAGTGAGGTTAGCAATCTGTCAGTAGCTAAATTAGATGCAAAATTGAGTCATCTTAAATTAAGAGTGGAAAATGTACATAAATTTCAATTGAATCCTGATCATGAAGCTATTGTTTCCGAGTTTAATAAAAAAATATCTCTGTACGTTACAAAATTTCAGTTGATTAAAAATAAGGTCTCAGAGGGAGACTTGGAACAATTTGAAGAGAGTTTAAATAGATCCATCATTGAAGACGAAGAGGACACTGCGAAGAAGGAAGAGTTAGCGCACAAACAGGGACCAGAGACATTTACCCCGATACATCAAGTTGCCGAGAAACAGGGACCAGGCACGTCTACTCCGGTACACCAAGTTCCCGAAAAACAGGGACCAGGCACATCTACTCCGGTACACCAAGTTCCCCTCCAACCCATGGTTACCAGCCCGGGGAAAGTACCCCTATGCCCCATGAATCTGCAAGTAAACTCATCAGTTCCCGCACTACCTACAAGTCACGATAGTTTTCCTCTTTTTAATAAAATTCCAAACCCGGTAGAGAAATATTTGAGCAAATTTACAGTTTGTGATGGCCTAGAGACCCGGGAGTTATTAAACTACTTGAGGAATTTAAATGAATTGAGAACTCAGACAGCTTTAACTGAACATCACATCTATGAGATTCTGCCTAGTTATTCTTCACCGCCACTACTAAACCATATTTTGGAAGCAAAATCACAACAAAGTAGTTTGGATGACCTACATACTAGAATTTTGAATTGCTTTCTACCGATTTCTTTAAGAGAAAAACTTAAACAAGAGTTGATATTTCGACCACAAAAACTTAACGAACCACTTGCCTTGTATGTTAATGAAATTAAATCAAATCATCAAATCTTAAAGGCTCATTTAACAGAATCTGAATTAGTAGAGTTTATAAAAAATGGAATCAACCCCGAAATAAGAAATCAGCTAATCTTTCAGAAGAACCCCCAAACCTTTAAGGACTTGGACGACATGTGCATTAACTTAAATAATGTAAGTTATAATGATTATGTAAGAAGACACGAACATACTTACCCTAGACACCAGCCCTGCAACATTCGCCCACAATATAATAGAGCACAGAATCAGAGCAGACCTGGTAATGATGTAAACCCAAGACCACATCGTTACAACGAGGAAAGAAAATGCTACAATTGTAACCGACTAGGCCATATCGCTAAAAACTGTTACAGAGGTACGAACTCAAAAAACTAATTAAGTCGGGAGTTATAGTAAAATCCGAAACACCATTATCCAACGACTATACTCCCGAGAAAATTAATAAAACTATCCCTTGTAATCAACCTAAAACGGAGGTACCATCAAATCAGTTTAAAAGAGAATTTCGTAAACTCGTTAAGGACTGGAACAAAGTAAAATTACCCCACCTTACTAAAGTTGACGCAGTGATCAACGAGAGTTTACCTGGTTTACAAATAAAATTTGGTCAGAAAATGCATGCCTTAGCGTTGATTGATACCGGAGCTAATAAAAACTTTTTAAGTAAAAGCTTGTATGACAGATTAAATAAAAGAAGGTTAATAAAACAGCATAGACAGACTATTGATGAATTTAAAATAGTAGCTGCCAATGACACGGAAATTCAAGTTTTAGGTGAATGTAAGGTGAGAATAAAAATTGATAAATATTCATGGTATGAAAACTTTTTGATCATTGAGCAAGATAACTTTGATTTAATTCTGGGGACACCGTTTATAGTGTCAAAGGGCCTAAGCATAAATTTACAACAACAAATATGTTACTTTAACTTCGATCGCAAGAATAAAATCAGATTAACGATGCTAAAAAACCTTGATATTGGGTTAAATAATATTGTAGTAGGTACAACTGATATGTTACGAGAGGTCGAACAGCTGATATCGCAATATCCAGATGTGTTTACAGATAAGATAGGGAAAGCCTTGGATTTGGAAATTGATTTACAGTTAACTGATGACAAGCCTGTAAATATTCGACCATATTATTTATCTCCACCAGCAGTCCAGAAAATGAAGGCAATTATTGAACAATGGTTAAAGGACGATATTATCGAACCGTGTACATCAAATTATTCGAGCCCTGCATTTTTAACGAAATCCGATAGATTAGTAATAAATTATTCAGAACTTAATAAAAAACTGATTCATATGAATTATCCACTGGGTGACTTACAGAACCTTTATCAACATTTAAGAGGAGGAAAATACTTCACAGTAATTGATTTAAATAAAGCTTTCCTTCAATGTCCGATAAGTGAAAGATCAAGAGATGTAACGGCTTTTTCGACTATATTTGGTAAATACAGAATGAAACGAGTATCGTTCGGATTGCAAGTGGGTAGCTCAGTATTAGCCAGTTATTTAGATAAAATATTTCACGATATAAAGTTTGATTACCTTATCAACTTCTGTGATGACATTGTAATTTACAGTCCGGACAAACAATCCCATCTCAGACATATGAAAGAAGTGATAAAACGTTTATCGGCACATCACCTCACTGTAAATGTTAGCAAAGCTAAATTCTTCTGCAACGAGATAAGTTTCCTGGGACAAATCATTAAGAACAACACGGTGTCTATTGATCCCGAGAGAACCAAGAGTATACGAGAATTTCCTTCCCCTAAGAACGTCAGAGAGGTCAAACGTTTTACAGGCATGGTATCCTTCTGGCAAAAGTATATACCCAATTTTGCCCAACTGTGTATCCCGCTCAACGCGCTTAAGAAGAAAAGAGCTAAATTTCAATGGACCGACGAGTGTCAGCGGAACTTCGAGGCGTTAAAAGACCACATAGCAAACCCGCCTGTTCTACAAATAGCCAATTTTGAATTACCTTTCACAGTACAAACTGATGCTTCTCAAAAAGCCGGAGGCGGAGTGCTACTTCAAGAAAATTCTGACGGAAAATTGATGCCCCTAGCCTATTATTCGAAGAAATTCACAGATGCCGAGCAAAAATACAGCATTTACGAAAAAGAAGCGTATAGTGCAATACTATGTATTGAGAAGTGGCATGAATTTTTAGAAATTCAACCCTTTAAATTAGTTACAGATAACCAAGCTCTGAGTTATGTTTTAAACAGTAAGAGAAAATTAGGGCGATTATCTAGGTGGGTTGAAAGACTGTTGAACCTGCGCTTTACAATTGAGTTTTGTCCAGGCAAGGATAATGTTATAGCCGATTGTCTATCGAGGTTGTATGGCGATGATGAGGATGAAGAGAATGGAAGCGAGAAGAATGAAGACGACGGATCTACGAAGAAGGTGAAAGAAAAACAAATTGGACATATACTTGATGAAGCTAAGACAAACGTTGTATATAACAGCCCTAAGCCCCTCAATAGCGCCCGAGTATATAATAAAGGATTTTTAAACTCAGCCCAACAGTTACCACTCGCATTTTCCGACATAATTGAGCACCAACAGGATGACCCAGAGTGTCAAAAAATCATTGCAAGCATTAAAGATAATAAAAACCAGGAATGTTTTTTGCTACATAAAGGAGTATTGTTGTATAACAATGGGAAAAGTAAAGGAAGAATATACTTGCCAATTAAGTTATTCAACATGGTTTTTACGTTTTACCATAACACGTTATTTGGAGGACACATGGGAATCAGTCGAACAAGAGCTAGAGTGAACGAATCATTTTATCATCCTGGCCTCAACGAGTTTATAAAAGATAAGGTGGTGAAATGCAAAGTATGTCAGATGTCGAAAACCAGTCAACGCAAATTTGAAGGTAAATTGATATCAATTCCGATTGAAACGACTATGAACACAGTATTTTGCGATTTATTGGGACCTTTACCACGCAGTAAACAAGGACATCAATATATTTTAATTATGGTGGACGGATTTTCACGCTATGTATGGCTCCATGCGCTGAGAAATTGCACTTCACGGGAGATAATAATGAAATTCAATAATACATTTTCAAACTTTTCGTATCCCCGTATTTTGGTGTCAGACAACGCTAAATATTTTGTATCACAAGAAATGAACAGTTACTTGTTTAGAAATTACATACAGCATCGGCGCATCGCGGCTTATAGGCCATCTGGGAACAAATCTGAACGATACATCAGGGATTTATCGACATTACTGCGTTGTTTTTACCACGATGAACATTGCAATTGGGATGAAGATCTAGGAAATATACAATTATGTCTGAACACAGCCCTGAACTCGAGTACACAAACTACAGCTTTTAAAATGATGTTCTTTCATGAGTGTAACAATGCCTTATCTAATTTATGGTCTATTCAAGATTTTATATCAACCGAAATAACCCCGGAGGATAAGAAGATTAATCTGAAGAAAGCATTAATCAATGTGAAGAAGAATATTTCGGCAAACAGAAGAAGGACAAAATATCAAGAGGAAAATACCCGACATCCATTTAAACTGCACGATCTTGTATTATTACGAACTCATTTTTTAAGTAAGAAGATTAACAAGTTTTCCAAGAAGTTGGCAGTAAAATACAAGGGACCGTATCGCATCATATATTTCGTAACCGATGTGACCGTCTTGGTACAAGATCCCGCAAATACGTCCGACGTCAAGAAGATACACATTATTGACCTGAAGCCTTATAATAGTTAACATAAATTAATATTGGAACAAAAAAAAATAGGCTAACTTATTCAATTTTGATTTAAAAAAAAGTTGCTTGGTTAGGATACATTTCAGAGTTATGTAGCAAGACGAAAGAAAAAAAAATTGTTTGTGGTTATTATTATCGTATCGTTTTGTATTATATTGTTAAATTATGCACGGTTTAGAAATGGTTACTTTACGTCATATCGTCTTTTTACTTGAAGTAAAAAAAATTAGGTTTTGCTTAAAACTAAAATGTGCATGAGGAAACGTAAATATTTAAAATAAATTTGTGAAGTTTGGGTTATTAAGACGTTAAACAAGAGTAAATTAGGTCAAGGACCGTGAAAGTACGCGTGTTTGGTGAATGTAAGTTGTATGTATGGTGTATAAATGTGAGCGAAAGAAATTTGTATGAGAAAGAATGTTTTTCGAATGGAAGTGTTGTAAATATGAACTCGGTGGTATCACACGCACTTGGTTATGGAACACTGGATTCACTGACACACACACTAACACTACGCGCGCAAACTAACTACACTGAATAAAACGGACACTGAACTACACTGGACACTGAACTATGCTGCACGCTAGGACACTCACTGACATAACTGCTCGCATGAGTCATTCCACTACTTGAAAATCACTAAAACCTGTTTGGGAAGTCCTTGACCTCATTACAGAAAGATAAGGGAAATAAATGTAACAAGGGAGTTTTCTAGTGGGTTAACTATACATGGTCAAATTTCCTTGTGCACTAAAAAAAAAATAAAATAAAAATAAAAATAAAGAAAATATTAAAAAAAACACATGCATGACAGTTAAATCTATATTGCTAGCTCTTTACAAAATGTTATATATTTATAAAAAAAAAACTAATATGTAAAAATAGAATCACTTGTTATATGTTATTTATATTTATTGTAAGCTGTTCGAAAACTATAAATTATTTGTTAGCAAGTATTGAAAGTGTTGAGGAGGTATAGAAAATCAAATGTTTCCTTTGGAGGTAAGATATTTATACTGATTTGTTACAGTAGGAAACATTTAATTTTGTTATGATCGATGAACTAATTATTGTTGCTAATCTATTGCGTTAAGTTGGTAGGTTGGTAGCCCTTGTTGTACAGATCAATCTCGACATAGTTTGTTTTTTTTTTAAGTGGAGAGCGGAAATAGAGGAGGCCGTTAGAAAATGTAAGTAGGTCTATTGTAAAAAGTTATAATTATAATAATCCGAGCACATCCATTGTAAAATATCATTTATATTAACCAGAAGTATTAAACGTTAAACAGAAGACAACAAAGATTTAGTTTATCTGCAAGACAATCATAATATTTTCAATAACTTGCCAATCATAACCTCTTGCCTCATGTTAAACAATTGTATTTACCTTATTCAGTATTTTAGTTAGTTTAGTATACCAACATGTAACTCAGACAATTTATTTTGTATTTCAGAACGAAGATCCTCCTTTTCTTCCCTGAATATAGAGCGCTTTCCATATGATTGTGTATATGCATGTACAGGTATCTCTAGCCTAAGAATTTATTGTTGTATAATGGATAATCGTTATTATAGGCTGATTAACGAGAATGAAAAATAAATAATTACTTGGTGATTTAATCAGACTCTATTATTTCCACAGATCTTGGCTCTAGTCACTAAAACAAAAACTTGGGCCTAACCTAAATTAAAAATTAGGTAATAGCTCAGTATAACAGTCTACTGCAGCTCTGGATTGGCCGTGCTGCTGACGACAATCTGCACCTCTTACATTAGACGTCCACGAAGCCCAGACTTAACCCCATGTGATTTTATTCTTGTGGGGTTATGTCAAAGACATAGTTTTTGTACCTCCTTTGCCATTGAATCTCATGGAGATTACGCATCCCAATACTGCTGCAGTCCAATGTGTTGATTAGGCCACTGTTCAAAAGGTTTGGTCGGAATTTGATTTTAGAATAAATGTCTACAAAGCTAACCATAGTTCACATATTGAAAACTTATAGTACATAGAAAAAGCTTGAGGTATTATCTTTCTAATGGTGTATCTTACTCTTCCTAAGTGAGTAAAACTTCGCAGTAATTTTTAAACAAAGTTGTTTACTTCTTTTGTGTACACTCGGTACTTTAATATGCTGAAAACCTTGAAAAATAGTTTGTTTTGTTATGACACAAACACAACGAAAACTATTAAACAATAACACTAAGTACCTTAGTTTTTTCTACATCAACAGCCTCTTTCAGTATGGGGTAGGAAGTGTGGACACCAGACGGACTGAAGTACACTATGTAGTGAGGGATGGATTGTTCCAAGACAGATCTGAGGTTTTCCTCTACTCTCGGATGAGGAACTGTTGTGTAGACCTCCACCAGGTCTGTAGGCACTCCTCCCTTGCTGAGCAGACGATCCATAGTGTCCAGATTCACATTGCCAGAGGGTAGCAGCAGTGGGTAGAGGGATCTCTCTAGGAGCCATGCCATAAGAATGCAATATAAAAACTGGGAAATGCCATAAATACAAAGGAATATTGTTCTCCAAGTTGGCACAGGA